CACTTATTGAACAGCTGCTCATCTTCTAATGCTTGATTCACATTTTGTATCATCTAGGAATTATTTATAAATTATTGCACACCTATGCTCACATTAAACAATTTGACCATAAATAATTTTCTTCATATTGTGATTTTGGTCATTATGAAGAAACCTTTTTCTATTTTCATTATGAATGAGTGTTCCCATTTACCTTTACAGGTTAAAAAAAAATATTTTCTTGTATATTTAAAGATTTTAACAAAGATCTTGGTTAGCTTGTTAAGCAGCACCCTCAGACTAGCTGATAACTGCTTAGCATCATAGCAGACGGTGTCAAAGCTAGTGGTAAGGGATCTCGTGAGACATGTGTACAGAGTAATAATTAAAGCCCTAAAGTTTTATGATAATTATTTCTAAGTCAGAGTGGATTTGTGATAATGTTATGCTCCCATTCTTGCCTTCGGTTATACTTTCTTAAGTGAGAAAGAAAAGGATGGAGTAATGGCTATTCAATAGAAAATTATTACCATAAAAATGTGGTTCTCATGAGTATGCCTTGTGGTAGAAGAAAATCAGTGAGCAATGCCACCTATAAAGTGTGTCACACAGTTCACATAATTGGGTAGCACATGGAAGATTGTGTATAAATGCCTTCACAGGCACATACAAAAGAGGAACCTCTTGTGAGTTCTCCTTCTGACATTTTCCTGTTTGACTAGGTTTATGTCTGGTTTGGGGAAAACTTGCCAGAAGTCAGTGCAGCAGCTGTGAGACTAATATTCATTGCCAATTCCATGAAGTCAGACTCTGACCCAGCTCACCCTGATTAGATTTCCTTTGAGGGCTGTGTGCTTGAGCCATGCAAAAGTAGAGTGGTCCCCACACAAAACCTCTCTCCTTAATCCTTAATTACTTCCTCTACATGGACATGCTTCAAAGAACCTGGATTGGTTGCAAAACAGGAAGTTACCCAAAGGTCTCTGCCATTACGATTGTAACAGATTCACTTTTTTTGTAGGCATCCTGAATTTTCAATACTTTTTCTTCTATGCAAGGTCCAGCTTCATGAATATTCCTCAGAGCCCTTCCAAATGCTGAGGTTTCTGAAACATCCCTCCACCTCTTCAGGGAAAAAAACATCTCCTCTCTTTTTTCATACACACTCTTGAAGGTGTCTTGACTGTTAATTCTCCAAACACCATTACTATTTCGTAAACAGAACTCTGGGTGATAGGGTACCACTGGCTTACTACAGTGTTCAAGGGAGGAGGACTGGCAAGAAGTGTGGGCATGGAGAAGCGAGATTCCCAAATTGCTTTTACTGTTCCCTGTTGATTTTTTTGCTTTATTTTTCCCTGTTGATTTTGTTTGATTTGAACACTTTGTAAGACCCAGAAGATAGTTTATTTCTTGAAAACATCAAGGGTAACTTCTTAGATCCAGGGAGTCATGCTCTCAAACCAGCATGAGCAGAGTACATGATATTAAACTGATTATATTATCAATTAAATAATCTTTATTAGTTTATATGGGTTGAAACAATGTGGAAAAAAGATTCATTTTCAACATCTTGAAAGAAAGGGTCAATTGATTTTGTTTTTATCTTCCAAAAGCACTAAAAATGGAAGTAATGGTGATTTCCATACTGCCATGGGTGATAATAAAGTTTAAAATATTAAAATACCTTTCTTCTAAGAGAGTGCCTTATCCCTGAGCCCCCTCCCTGGTACATGATCTGATGTTTAAAAAAATAAACAGTTTTCTGTCTGTTGTAGTGGCTGTTTACTTGAAAAAAGTCTAAAAACATAACCAATTAATAAGCTATTTAGAGGCTGGGCACGGTGGCTCATGCCTGTAATCACAGCACTTTGGGAGACCAAGGTGGGTGGATCATCGGAGGTCGGGAGTTCGGGACCAGCCTGACCAACATGGAGAAACCCTGTCTCTACTAAAAATACAAAATTAGCCGGGCATGGTGGCACATGCCTGTAATCCCAGCTACTAGGGAGGCTGAGGCAGGAGAATCACTTGAACCTGGGAAGTGGAGGTTGCGATAAGCCAAGATCGCACCATTGTACTCAAGCCTGGGCAACAAGAGTGAAACTCTATCTCAAAAAAAAAAAAAAAAAAAAAAAACTATTTATATTTAGAGCATTATTATGATGAATAAGAGAAATGATTAATTTTTTAAATCCCAGTTGGTCCTGATTATTAGAAAATTAAATGGCTTAAAGGAATTTCTCAAAAAGAAGTTTTCAAAGTGACTGCATTTTAGAACCAAAGGAAAATCAGTTGCAAGTAAAGTTTCGACAATGTTTATACAAATAGCTATCTTGCTTTGTGTGTTTTCACATCTATGTCTGGATAACGTAATGAAAACAAGAAACATAAACATGATAGTATGATTTTGAATATAGAAAAATGGTTTTAATGTTGCAATATTTTAGCCTTTAGAAAAACCTGATTATTATATGAAAAATTTAAGAATTTTTATTATATTTTTCTATTTCATTTCATTTATTTTTGTCTTAGTTTTGTAAACAAGCGATTTTATGTATGAAAATTAGCACAATTATGTATGAAAATTGAGGATAAAATCATCTACTTCATATGCTTTATTTATTATTTTAAAGTTTCACTTTAATTTTTCACTTTTTAAAAGCAAGTTTTCTTTTTTCTCATTTTCCTTACACCAGTTCTAGTAACTTTTTAAAAAGTGAGATAGGCCATTTTGGAGAAGAAGAAAATACTTCAGTGTGATTGTTTGACACCAATGAATGCAATGAATGTGCAAAAGTGTGTTTAAACTATTTTTTTCAATTTGAATACAATAATCTATGCAGAAATCACATGGAGACAGATGCTCCTGAGAAATTACTATATATCTGAACAAGATTGGAATTTCCCACAGAATAAGAATTAAGCATTGTTAAGCACTTCAAAATTAACAACTCAGCAGAAATCATGCAACTAGGTATAAAAAAGATGTTCAGATCCAATAATATAAAAGTTCTAGTTAAAAATTAAAGAAAAACTATTATTAATAAAGTTTAAGTATATAATTCAGCCACAATCTTTATCCTGTTTCCAAATTTCAAACAGGTAGGCTGGGCATGATGGCTCACACCTGTAATCCCAGCACTTTGGGAGGCCAAGGGCAGATCACCTGAGGTCAGGAGTTTGAGACTAGCTTGGTCAACATGGCAAAACCCCATCTCTACTAAAAATGTAAAACAAATAGCTGGGCATTGTGGTTCGTACCTGTAATCCCAGCTACTCAGGAGGCTGAGGTACGAGAATTGCTTGAACCTGGGAGGCAGAGGTTGCAGCAGGCCGAGATTGCATCACTGCACTCCAGCCTGGGTGAGAGAGCGAGACTCTGTCTCAAAAACAAAACAAAAACACCAAAAAAAAAAACTGCCAAATTTCAAACAGGTAATAAAATTTTTATGGTATTGTTGTCATAATGTTGTTATTATAATTATAAAAGTCCCCAAATTATACATAAATGATTATTTAAAATGTATTATAATAAAGCAATTATTTTTGTAAAATATTGTGATTGCTTTCTAAATTCAGGACATAATAAATGTTATGACTATCGATTACACCAGCAGTATCTTGTACAGGATCAAAGCTTGAGATGAGGTGAATAAAACCACAAGCGATCTTACATTATTTTCGATGAATTTTTACATAAGGTAACAGTCATGCTTGAAGCCTGCTTTTGTAACAAATTATGAATAGGTATTAAAATAAATGCTTATTATCATAGCTGGAAAAGATCCATTGCATATGGATGTTCAAATTGTTTCATATTATCTAGTTTGATATATAAAATCTTGTGATATCAGTAGAGCAGGTAAAATTAGTCTTCATTTCACAGATGAAGTAAAACTTGAGTTTAAATGACTTGCTCAAGTCAAACAATTGGCTACTGAATCAGGAAGCAAGGACTAAAGGCCAGGTTTGCTGACCTTGGTTTAGTAAGTTTCATTTCCATTATTCCACCAGGAAATTTACGTATAATTAAAGGTACTTATTTTAGTATACTTTGTTTTCTGAAAAAGTTTGTGTAGAATTGGTATTATTATTATTATTATTATTATTATTATTATTTGTGACCAAGTCTTGCTCTGTTCCCCATGCTGGAGTGCAGTGGCAATCTCAGCTCACTGCAACCTCCGCCTCCCGAGTTCAAGCTATTCTTCTGCCTCAGTATCCTGAGTAGCTGGGACTACAAGCACACGTCACCACATTTGGCTAATTGTTGTATTTTTAGTAGACACAGGGTTTCATCGTGTTGTTCAGGTTGGCCTTGAACTCCTGACCTCGTGATCCACCCACCTTGGCCTCACAAAGTGCTAGGATTACAGGTGTGAGCCACCACGTTAGGCCTATTATTATTTTTAAATGCATTCTTTTATTGGGTTGGTGAAAAAGTAATCGCAGTTTTGGACCATGAATTTTAAATCATTATAACTAGGCTCAAACGTATCTTTATCAATCAAAATAGGAACCATTACAATCAACACATTTTTGAGAAATGTTTGTTTATTCCTGTAGAGTAAAAGTCCATACTTTGAGGTTCAATGAACTCTTGGTAAGCATTTTCTGCATTATGCTGGTTGTGGAAGTGTTTTCCCTGCAAAATGTTGTGGAGGTGCTTCAAGCGGTAGTCGGCGGCCAAAAGTTAGGTAAATATGGGGATGAGGCAAGATTTCATAGCCAAATTTATTCAACTTTTGAAGCGTTGGTTGGGCAACGTGTGGTTAGGTGTTGTGGAGAAGAATTGGGCCCTTTCTGTTGACCAATTCTGGCTGCAGGCATTGCAATTTTCGGTGCATCTCATCAATTTGCTGAGCATGCTTCTCAGATGTAATGGTTTTGCTGGGATTCAGAAAGCTGTAGCGGGTCAGACTGGCAGCAGACCACCAAACAAACGACGATGTTTTTTTGATTTTCGATCAACTCATGAGACACCCATTTACCGAACTTTTCCACCTTTCCAATTTCAGCTTCAATGATTGCTCTCAATTGGTCGTTGTCAACTTCTGGTGGCCAGCCACTGCACTCCTCATCTTCAAGGCTCCTAGCTCCTTTGCAAAACTTGAACCACCACTGCACTATATGTTTATTAGCAGTTCCTGGGCCAAATGCGTTGTTGATATTGCGAGTTGTCTCCGCTGCTTTACGACCCATTTTGAACTCAAATAAGAAAACTGTTCGAATTTGCTTTTTGTCTAATTTACATAGTCCAAAATAAACACAAATTAAACAGCAAACAATAAGTTATTAGCAAAAATAAATAAATAAATAAAGCAAGAGATACCCATTAAAATGATGTGTAACATAATCACATTTATTTAAGTGTGTATTCCAGTATCAAAAGGCAAATTTCAACAATGCAAAACCCACAATTATTAATACATTTGCACTCACCTAATAGCTATAGAACCTCTTTCTGAACCTTAAATTTTCTCTATGGGAAGATATTAAGTGAAAAATTACATTTCTGTAATAAATACAAGGTTCTTTAGGTTCTGTATTTATTTTCTCTTTAGTGAGCTTAGGTAATTAGTATCATTAGAGGAATTTGTCCATTCAGCCAAGGTGTCCAATCCGTGGGCCTAAAGTTGTTGGTAGTATTTCTTTATTATCTTTTAAACATTCATAAGAGCTGTGGTTATATTCCCCTTTTCATTTCTGAAACTTTTTTCTCTACATCTGGCTATAAGTTTGTAATTTTTTTGGTCTTTCTAAAGAATTAGGTTTTGGTTTCATTATTTTTTCTCCATTCTTTACTATTTTCCAGGAAAATTATTTTTATCACATAATAATATTTAATAGAGAACTGTCAAAAATTGTGACATGTCTGCCCCACAAGGCAATTGGGAAGGTCAAAATATGATGTTTTACACACTAAAATTTTGAGAAATCTATTTAGTTTAATATTTAATGCTTGTTAATTTAGTAGTAAACTCAAAGTAATATATGCAAAATGGTTAATAGTAAAATGATATTTAAAGGCTTATAATGAAAAACAAGTATTCTCTTTTCTATCCACCAACACCTTGGATGCTCTTCCTTCTGACTACTTCCTGCCATAGGGACCATTTCCCAAAAGCAACTACTTTTGATTTTTTTAACTGTTTCTCCTGTTAGGTACATTAAAGCTTAGCAGTGTAAAAAAATCAAATAACAAAAATAATTCTAAATGGCACTAACATTACTGAATCCGAAATGATTCAGTGATTCAGAACCTTTGGGCCATTAGTAAGAATATCAATGGTCATTTTATAAAAGTGCTGATCAACACATTTTCATAAGACATGGTGGTGGACAACAAAGACCTTTTTGTGTATAGAATTTTGTGATCAGCTATTTTTATTTTCACTGAAGACAAAAGTCATCTCTATATCAGGATACACAGAGAAAATTATATTGGCATATACTGTTGTTAGGATTGTCTCAACAGCATAATTGCATTTATCCAATAAATGTTTCTTGAAAGTACATTTTGGAAATCTTTGTCTTAGTAAAGGCAATTCTCTAGTCACCTTGCCTAGTCATGGTCTTGTGAGAATAACAGTTAGTGGATCCAGGCTTTGAATTCTGCCTTTGTACAGACCTAGTAATCCAGGCAGAGACTGGATCGAATCCTGTTCACAGGAAGCTTTCAGTTGTCCATGGGTACTTCTGGGATCTAGTAAGCAGAAAGGAGTGTAAGGTCTCTCTCACAATATCAAAACTTTATGCTGTTGTCAGCACTACATCTTCAAGTTGTATCTGAAGGGATAGGGACCCAGTTTCAGGGGATATGTTTTTATCTTGTACAAGATGTCTTATTTTTATTACCTGCCTTGAAATCTTAAGGGACAAGATGTGAGAAGCAAAAATCACTTATTATTTTTATGATCACATATTAAAAATGGATTGTTAATCCTCATCTTAGTTTCATGATCATATGCTGAAAAATGGGCTGTCAAGATACACCCAGAGATCATAGAATTTAAAGAAAGAAGGATCTTATATTTATGATGGTACTATTGGAGCATTTTTTTTTTTTTTTGCATTAAAGTGGCACAGGAAAAGCTAGAACTGCTTAAATGATGCTGAAAAGACTGCTTAAGTAATTGGATACATTGTCAGTGGTTGTCAGGAAGAAGGTCATAGAATACCACAATTCAGTGGCTCTTTATCTGGGTTCGGTGATAAATGCCAGGCTCAGTTCATTCAGTCAGCTTCCCTCCCTAATGATATGCAGAAGCATTAAAAATGGATTTCTTCTTTGTCAACAGTACATCATGTATAGCTAAAATGAGTGGCAGTTTTCCACTCTAATTTAGTTCTTAGAATTTTTTTTAAGTAAGTTGGTACATAAACTTGGCATGTGACATTGGCTATGACTACAGATTTTGAAAAATTTGTGGATGTAACTGAAAGATCAAGATTAGCCAGAATGCTTGGGTTAGAGAACGTTCTACTAACTACTGTGTAAACTGGTTAATTAGTAATCTCCCTAAACTTCAGTTTTATTTTATTTATTTATTTATTTTTTTGAGATGGAGTTTCACTCTTGTTGCCTAGACTGGAGTGCAATGGTGCAGTCTTGGCTCACTGCAACTTCCGCCTCTCGGGTTCAAGCGATTCTCCTGCCTCAGCCTCCCAAGTAGCTGGGATTACAGGCATAAGCCCCCAAGCCTGGTTAATTTTTGTATTTTTAGTAGAAATAGGGTTTTACCATGTTGGTCAGACTGGTCTCAAATTACTGACCTCAGGTGATCCACCCTCCTCGGTCTCCCAATGTGCTGGGATTACAGGTGTGAGCCACCGTACCTCGACTAAACTTCAGTTTTCCCAACTGTAAACCTGTGATTAAAATACCTTTCTCATAGAAGCTTAGAATGGTTAAATAGAATGACATAGGTGTAATGCATAATAGGTCTTCCAAAAATGTCTATCTGACCCAAGATAGTAATGCCTTTAAAAAAATTTCAAAAAATTATTTTATGATGTTCAGTTGAAATTTTTCTAAATAAATCAGACTGGACAATAGCAATTATTGGCAGGCTACAGAGCAACAGGAACACTCATATAACGCTGATGAGGTGAACATTGGCTCAATAACTTAGGAAACATTCCGGCATTACCTAAGGAATATGAAAGGGCCTACCTTACAGTCCAGTAGTTCTGATCCTAGCTATACAGTACTTCCACACCTAGAGAAACCTTTGCCATTTGCACCTGGAGACATAAATCATGCGTGATTTTAGCAGCACTGTTTGTAACAGAAAGGAGAGTAGGAATAACCCATATACCCATCAACAACAGAATAGATGAACAATAGAATAAACAGCGATAAAGGTGAACTACATCTACCTCAATGAGCATAAAATTATCTCAGACATAATATTGAGCCAAAACGCAAGTTAGAAGAATATACAGTATGTGCAGTGTTCCATTTTATAGAAAGTGCCAAAACAGGCAAAACTAAATGACATATTTTAGATTATCTATTTATCTATCATTGAATTACCTATCATCTCTTCTTTCTATTGTTTATCTATCTATGCTTAAATAATAAAGGGAAAAAGAAAACAAGTAACATAAAATTTAAGATAGTGGTTACTTTTGGAAAGAAAGAAATGCCAGCGGTGGGGGGAACACCAAGGAAGCTTCTAAGAAGCTAGTTTTATCTATCTTTTTTGGGGAAAGGCTGGTATGTAGGTGTACAGGTGACCCTTGAACAACACAAGTTTGAACTGCAGCAACCCTCTTATTTGCAGATTTTTTCAATAAATACATTGGAAATTTTTTGGAGATTTTCAATAATTTGAAAAAACTCACAGATGAACCAAACAACCTAGAAATATTGAAAGAATTAAGAAAACATTAGATATGTCATGAATGCATAAAAATACATAGATACTGGTCTATTTTATCATTTACTCCCATGAAATATACACAAATCAATTATAAAACATTAAAATATATGAAAACTTACACATACAAATGCAGACGGTACATGGCACCATTCTCAGTCCAGAGAAATGTAACCAAATGTAAAGATGCTGTATTAAATCATAACTTTATAAAATTAACTGTAGTATGTACTGTACTACTGTAATAATTTTGCAGCCACCCTGTCACTATTGTGGTGCAATCAAGTGTTGTGAGTATCCACTTAAATTGCCGTGTGATGCTTATCATCTCTGTGTAAGCAGTTTGTCCATCGAGTAAACTGCATATTGAAGTGAAATGATCTCTCATTATTTCTTACGTATTTTTCATCATGCTTAGTACAATACCATAAACCTTGAATAACACCATGAGACCCATACGAAGTGCCACTAGTGGTGCTTGGAAGAGCTCCCCAAAACACTGAAAAGTCATGACATAACAAGAAAAAGTGGAATTGCTTGATATGTCCCATGATTGAGGTCTGCAACTGTGGCTGTCATTTCAGACAGACATCTTGTAAACAGACAATGTAAACGTATGGTATTGGTAAATACAATACTGTAAATATATTTGCTCCTCCTTATGATTTTCTTAACATCTTCTTTTCACTACATTACTTTACTGTAACAATACAGTGTATAATACATATAACATTTGAAATATGTGCTAATCAACTGTTTGTGTTATTGGTAAGGCTTCCAGTCAACAGTAGGCTATTCGTAGTTAAGTTTTTGGGGAGTCAAAAGATATACATGGGTATGGGGAGAGGGGCTGTCACTCCTAACCACTGTGTTGTTCATGGGTCAACTGTGTTAGCTTTCTAGGGTTGTTGTAACAAATTACCATGACCTGGGTGGCTTAAGACAACAGAAATCTACACTGTCATGGTTCTGAAGGCCAGAAGTCTGAAATCGAGGTGTCAGCAGGCTTGTTCCTTTTCAGAGGCTCTAAAGGAGAGTATTTTTCCTGCTTCGCTTCTAGCTTTGTAGGCTGCTGGCAATCCTTGACATTCCTTAGCTGGTAGATGCATCATTCCAACCTCTGCCTCCATCTTCACACTGCCTTCTCCTCTTACCTTGCCCTGTGTTCTCCTCTTCTGTCTTTTATAAGGACATGTGTCATTGAAGTGAGGGCCCTCCCTAATCCAGGTGGATCTAGCTCATCTCAAAATCCTTAACTTAATTACATCTGCAAAGAGGCTTCAAATAGATAACCGCTTAGGGAGTCTATTATTCAACACATTATAGTAGGTGTACATTTTACCATTAGTAGATGACTGTACATAGACATTATGTATACATTCCTTTGGATGTTTG